AAAAGCTCACATCTTTCTTCACGAAGGCAATCAGCGCATCCATTGGCAGCTGTTTCTTGTTCAAGAAAGATAAAGATCAAGATTCTCAAGAAGAAACCCCACCAGCACCAATTGGCCGCCGCGGCTAATAATTCTGCCCCTGCGGCCGCCGCCTTCAATAATAATACTCCGAGACAAGAAGCTGATGCCCCTGCTGGAAGCCTCCAAGAGGAACCTGAGCCAGCGTTACGCGGAAGTTGCGGAAAACAAGGCCAAGAGAAAGATCCAGTGCATCGGCGTTTCTGAAACCATGAAGCACCTCTCCCGCCACCTCAACAACAGAACCACTACTGCTCCAAACCCTAAGAGGGCCGATGGATACGAGAGAGGGCGAATGGGTTGGTCTGGTTTGATTTGGATTTGGATAAATTCAAGTTTGGATTGAGAACAATGAGTCCATGATACAGTATCATCGAATCTGGATCAACCAAACAAATTATGAGATTTTTTTTTAAATATTAAAGTTCATACTAATAGCTGCATTTTGCACTAAATAAATAATAAAATATCAAAATACATATATTGAACCTATATTAGAGTATTGTATTTTGAATTTTCTAGTAATACTAGCTATATTTTTCAATATTATGAATAATATAAAAAATTAATTATGTACCATTTTTAAAAAAATATAAGATGACTATCTCATAATAATAAAAACTTGCTTCAAAATACAGAGTATAAGTTTGTATACTAAAAAGGAGTAATAAAAAAACATAACCTCATTTTTATTACTCCGTACATTATTTTTCAAATTAAAATGCATGATTTTGAAAATTCTTACGCAAATGGGTCATTCAGTTTGGGTTCTATTTTTTCAAAATTCTATATTTTTAACCGATCTCAGTTAATTTTTGTCAAGTCCAGAAATGCGCAACGTCGTCCCCGAGCATGGGCAGAGCGGACAAGTAGCCCAGATCTAAAATTCTCCAAAATATTGGCCTGGTTTGGAGAATATCCATGAAAAAGTTTGTTAAATTTATAAATTAAGTTTTTTCAAGATTGGGTCACTTTAAGAGCATGTTCTTTATGGTTTGAACTCTTAAATTCTAGTTATTTCCAGTTGTTTACAGTTCTTTCTAGTTTCTTCCAGTTTTTTCCAATTCGTTCCAGTTTCGTCCATTTTCTTTCCATTATTTTTATTTTTTTCAAACTCTTTCTACTTCTTGACTAGTTATTCTGAAAACATATTATTATTATTACTACACTTATTATGTTCACAACTATAGTTTATAAATTATATCATTTTTTCATCTCACTATTTTTATGATTTACAATGATCACATCATGTGACATGCCTGATATTTAAAACAAAATCTTATAATATATAAAATATAATTATAAATATATTATTTTATGATAAATACTGCATAAATAAAGTGATATGCAACGTAGCCACAATAACTTTTAATTAACATTTTGATATTTATGCTAATTTTACATTCTAATTAATTTTTTTTCAAAAGTACAGTAGTTTTTTTTTGTAAGAAAAATAACAATATTTTTTTTCTAAAAGTCATACATTAAGATAACGTGATGACAACAACAACAACAATGATGATGATGATAATAATAAAACAACAACAACAACCCAGTTGGATCCCACAATAGTAGGATCTGGGGAGGGTGTGTGTACGCAGACCTTGCCCCTACTCGGAAGTAGGGAGGCTGTTTCCAAGAGACCCCCGGCTCCACTTGCACAGAAATATGGAAGGGAACACAATATAGCCCATATAAAGCGCCAAGTAAATATAACAATAATATTAATAATTTATAACAACAAGAATTGGAATGAGAATAATATAAAAATACACAAAAAAAGTTTTTTAAAATTTTGTTAGTTTTTCCAATTTGTTGTAGTTTTTTCAATTTCATTTAATTTTTTCAATTTTTTTCTTCCAACTTCGTCCAGTTTCTTACAGTTTCTTCCAACATCCAGCTCTTTTTTTCAAGTCCTAAAGATCATGCTCTAAAAGCTAATGAGTTTTGTGATCTTTCATTTAACTTGTCTATTTCTTCCAGCGACTTAACAAAATATTTAGATATACTTTTCTTATTTTTATTATTCTATAATTAGTATTGTTATTATTGTTATCATCATCTATCTAATTAGAATATAAATTGATGTAATATCACAATCTATTTATAAAAACAAATTACCCTTAAAATAAATTTGAGTAATCATTATAGAGAGTCAACGTAAGTTTGATGTACATAGCATGTACCCGTTATTTTAATTGCAAAACTTTTGATGTAAGTTTTTTTTTTTAATTTTTTCTAATTAGTAAATACAATCACTTTAAAAAATTTAAATTTTGCATATTGTTTAGAATGAGAACTTTTTTTGAAACATAAAGACTATAGACATGGTTTGGTATAGATTTCAAGTGTATTCTAAATGAATTATATAGAGTGAGAATAAAAGTGATATAATGATTTGATAGATTTTAGAACCTGGGTCATATGAGACTATGTAGAAGAGTATTGAAAAAGGACTGAGTTCCTTTTGGTCGCATGAGTAGAGTAAGTATCTTAAGTAGTCAAAATGTGAACGTGCTTTTCCTCATTCAGGGGAGGGGTATTTATACAATGCGACTGCCCATGTTTGGGTTTCCTAGCCATTGGTCTACGACTGAGTGGACTGGGCACATCGGGGTCATGCCTTTTGATTGACAGTACAAGAAATATAATTACAAATAAGGTAGCTACAAATAGGGTAGTTACAACCAATTGACACACAATCGTATACAAAAGTCAGGTTCACAGACTCTGCCGTTGGAAGTTAGCCGAGTAAGGATCTGATCGTGTCTGCCCAGGGTCCGAGTCGATGTAACCGGGCTGAGTATGAGCGCATGTCCGAGTACAGTTGCCATTTTGAGGGGTAGGTTTCCTCTAAGTCCCACTCGGTCGAGCATGGCGTTTTTGGCCAAGCGCGTCCGATTCCTACGATTATATAAGCCTTGTTGGGTCGCTTATTTTGTTGGGTTGATACCCCCAGTCCTGGGTATCCATCATGGTTATTATTCACATTTTATAGAAATCTAATTTTATAGAGTGTTTTTGTTTCGATTGAAAATTCTTAGCTCTAGTAAACAGTGGCAAGAATACTACTCTACTATTCATTTTCATTACATTTTTTTCTTTTAAAAATGCCATTGAATTTTGGAAATTTTTAAAAGTGTCACTCAAGTATTACAGAGTATTTTTTTAAAAATTTGTCATTCTCTATTTTGTTTCTTCTAATAAGGTCACTAAAATCTCTAAAATGTTAAAAAAAAATCCACTAAAACTTCCTTCTTTTTCTTTTCTACCATGGGCCTTAAACGCATTTTGCACTCATATATTTGTGCTTAGTTTTAAGATAACCCTTTTTAATTGAAGAAATAAAGTTTATGTGAGAACTGGGAAAGTACTAAAAAACAATAAGAAAATTTTAGAAAATAGATAAGTTAAAGAAAAAGAACAAATAGTTTACTCATTAAAAGCATTGTGTCTATTTAAAGGTAAACTCTTACGTGGTCTTAAGATCCATGCCCATTTTATGGATGTTAATGTATTGATATCATAAAAGAATAAGACTTTTAAAAAAAACAAAAGATCTACCTGCTAGCCCATAAAAAATGTGAGAAGATCCACATTTCACACATGAACATTAGGATCATGGAAAAACAACTTCTATTTAAAAATATTGGAGTAATATTTTTGAACATTTGAGAGAGTTCAATACTACGATATTATTGAAAGAAAAAACTAGCGACATTCTTTAAAAAAAAATACTCGAGTGACACTTTCAAACATTTTAGAGAGTTCAGTGACATTATTAAAAGTAAAAAGATAATGACATTTTTGAGAAAAACAAAGAGTTGAGTGTCATTCTTGTCGTTGCACTCTTCTTTTAGAACCAATTATACTTTGTACTTTTTGAGCACTAGTTACTATTTTATAATTGTAGTATCTGTTCATCTACTCTATTTTCTCAACCTACAAAAATATCTACAGTTGTCGTCTCACTTTAAACCTTTGACCTCCCATTTGAAAAAATCACCTTAGTGCAATCACTTCATCAAACTACACAATCTTTAGATGTACTATGTTTATGACACTAAACTAATCTTTGTGAAGTTAAACTAAAAAAAATGAATAGAAGTACAGAACATTTTACTTTAAATAAAATTATTCCATATGTCTTAGACAGATTGTATGAAAGTCAAAACGAGGCAAACTCTCAAAATTTTAAAATTCATTTTAATTTAAAAATTAGCATGAAAATAAAAAAAATAACACATTTAAAAAGTATATCAAAAATGTCTACAAAACAACAATAACAAGAAATTTTTAATTTATTAAATAATTAAAGGAGAAATACCAAAATAGAGGTAAAATATAGAAATATAATCAAAATATGTTCTACATGTTTATATCATAAAATAAGACATATAATACCAATAATACCAACATATAATGTCAAAAATTATCGTCGCATGCCAACAGATAGTGTCACATTATTGCAATGGAATAGTTCTACTTTAGGATAAAAATATGTTATTCATATTAGGGAACAAACATTATATTTTGCTTATATTTTGAGTAATTTTTTAATAATTACTCCGTACAAAGTAATAAAAAATATACAAATAAATAAAAGTTATCATAATTAATGGTGCAATGTGGAATGTAGAATTTGTTAAAAAAAACAGAGGAAGTATACAATTACCAATTTTAAAAAATTTATAATGATTTGGTTTCCAAAATTATTTTTATCAACTGCCTTCTTTCTCCATACCCTAAACATACTCGAGCCCCACGCTCTTCATATATTTCCCTTTCTCTTCTTCGCAGGCTTATTACATTGGAACTGAAATTTATTATTCATATTTTATTATTATTATTATTATTAATTATTAGTATTATTATTTGTTATGACGAGAACAATTTGATAGCAGAACATAGTAAAAGAGTCTATTTTTTCTTTCTTTTTCGCTTTAATGGCTGACAGAAACCATGATTGTGTAGCCTCAAACCTACTCTGCTCAGAGACCATTGGTCTGTGTTTTGATGATCTTGGCTCTATTGCCATAGATATGCAAACCCATGAATCCGATGGTGATGAAGCTTTGATCTTTGACAACATTGAATCAGACCATTTAGTTGATTTTCCAGTTTTGAGTGAAGAGAGCTTTGTTTTGATGGTGGAGAGGGAGAGGCGGCATTTGCCTGCAGATGATTATCTCTGCAGATTGAGAGCTGGGGACTTGGATTTGTCCTTTAGAAGTGATGTTCTTGACTGGATTTGGAAGGTAGATTTTGATTCACTTTATGAGTAATTTTTTTCTTCTTTTTGCAACCTTCTTTTTTGGTTATAATAATAATTGGTTTCTCCTCTTTTTTTTTTCCTCCTCAAAAGATCACTGGATTTCTTTCTATCTTGTTCTTGCCAATCACTTATGGGCGGTTTTCATAAAAAAGGAATCAATTTTACTGATTGATTCCACATTCTGGTTGAAGAATGATTTTATTTTATTTTTATTTTTAATTTTTTGTGGTTGTGCTGTGTGTGCTGCTAATCACTTTCTGTATTTTATTTTGAGAAGTATGTTAAATGCTGGATCCAGTTTGAAGGGCCTTTTTAATTTAACTGATTAAGTTTATTACTCTTTTTAATTCTTTTCCTAAATGGAGATTCAAAAAGATCCTTTAAATCTTGATTTGATAGCTAACAAATCCAAACTATGTGTATAGGCTCATTCACATCTTGGGTTTGGAGAGTTCAGCTTTTGTTTGTCAATAAATTACTTGGATCGCTTCCTCGCAGTCTATGAACTGCCAGTAAGTATATTTTAGTACTCCGTAATACATTTTCTTGAAATGATTTTTTTTCCGCTTAGACTTTAAAATGCTGTTTTTTCTTGACTGATTTTTTTGAGTTTAATTTACTTGTTGGAATTCATAGAGAGATAAAACTTGGACAGTGCAATTGTTAGCTGTGGCCTGTTTGTCATTAGCCGCTAAAGTGGAGGAGATTAGTGTGCCTTTGACCGTGGATTTACAGGTAAAATTTGGTGTCAAAACGTAATTAATGCATTTGAAACGTTTGCTCGTTTTAGGCGACGTTTTGTTCACGGTAATGAAACTTGATGCGCTGTAATCACAAATTGAATATTTTTAGTGTCATTTTGGATTACACATACATTTGTTCACACACATTGCATATTTCTGTTAGACCCTTGATGCATTGCAGCATTTACTACCCAAATCTTTATTAAAAGTAAGAAGCGATGGAAGTTTAAGGTGTCATTTTGATCTAGTCTACTATTCACTTGAAGCTAAAAAGAATGGTAAAAAGCAAGTCTTGAAACTCCATTGACAAGGGACATGTGCATTGCGCACATACATTTGTTTATACCACATCAAGACTTCATTTTGTAGCAGCTAAAATGCATAAAATGACCAAATTGGTTGAATAATATCCGAAAATGAATATTGAAGTGCCGTTTTCATTAAGCCCCTTCATTTAAGCAGGAAAATACTTACCAAAAGAGCACCTACTCTCGTTTCGTCTCACAAAATGATACCTTTGCACAATATTTAGATCCGAGCATGGAGTTTGTTAATCAAGTTCTTGGAACAGGTGTGCGACCCAAGATTTGTGTTTGAAGGAAAAACAATTCAGAAAATGGAACTTCTTGTGTTGAGCACCTTGAAGTGGAGGATGCAGGCTTATACACCTTGTACATTTATAGACTATTTCCTAAGAAAGATTAACGACAACCAATTGCCGTCACTACACATCACATCAAGATCAAGGCGGCTTATTTTGAGCACAACGAAAGGTAGATTTTTTTATTTTTTATTTTGGTATATCTCTATTCTTTGATACACACAAACAACAAATTCTTTGAAGTGTTTGATTGTGAGAGAGAGAATGGATGCAGGGATAGATTTCTTGGAATTCAGGCCTTCAGAGGTTTCTGCAGCAGTGGCGATTTTTGTTTCGGGAAGAACAGAAGCAATAGAGTTAGTGATGGCAATTCCTTCATTCAATCATCAAGGACAAAGGGTAATTTTTTTTTACCTCTTCAAGTTGTGTTTTGTCCATAGAAATGAATCTTCAATTCTTTTTCTGGCATAGACTATGGAGTTTTTAGAGCATATGTTTTCTTTGGAAAATATGAAGATCCCAAGAGAGTGCAGCTCTTAATAAGAGAGTAAGAAGTTTGTAAGCCATTTGTGCAAAGAATGGTTTCTGCTTTTGGTCTCTAACTTTTATTTTGTTTTCACTTTTGGCGCACCACGATAAATTTCTTGCCACAATTGGCCCTTTTGGTTTCCAAATACTCCGAATTTAGTTGTCCATTTTCTAAAAAATCTCATTTCTAGGAATCGAGTTAAAAATGTCAAATAAGTCCTTGAAATGAGTTTGTTGCTCATTCATGTCAACAATGCTTGTACCCTATCTTTAGGATATTTTAGACAATTCATTGTAATTTCCATACTGAATATGGAGAGCGGAGGACTAATTCTAGACAAACGAAAACAAGAAAGTGGACAACTACATTTGGATAAATGAAATGCAACTTTTGATTGAATTCTGCGATAAATGTGACCGAAAAGGACAAAAAGTGGCAAGAAACGCATGTGAAGCGCGACACGTTTTCTTCAATGGGTTGTCCTTGTCGTATATTATTAACTAATTACAAGAAAACCCAAATTTGTTTTTTACTTCAATGCTTATGCACCAGTTGTCAAAAAGGCATCTTAATCCAGCTATTTTTTGTCGAGTTAGTTCTTACAACCGAGCTGGTTTTGGACATTTGCAGGAGAGATTGGTAAAATGCATTGAACTGATTCAGAATTGGAACTTCAAGGGCGATTTGGGCATTGGATCAATGCCTCAAAGTCCAAATGGGGTTTTGGAAGCTGCATGCTTCAGCTACAAAAGTGGCGATGAACAGACCATAGGATCATGCCCAAGTTCATCAACTACTACTCCAATTACTAAGAGGCGGAGAGTGGAAAGACATTGTTACCCAAAACGCAGAAGAGTATGACAAAAATCCAACCTTCATCAAACATATCTATCTAGTTATATATATGCACAAACACACACACACACATATATATGTATATGTATGTGTGTGTGTGTCATGTTTTATTAAAAAACAATGACAACAACGAGAAAACACAAGAAACACCAAAAAACAAGAGTAACATAGAATTATGAAAGAATAAAGAAATAGGTTACCATATAGAGAGTAACATTTTAACCATGCTTTATTTTAAGGTAATGTTTGTCTACATTACACACTTGTGGTATGACCCTTCCTCATTGGGCATGCTTTGTGCATCCGCATGCCCTTTCCACCACTTTAGGGCACGGATGAGGCACAAAGACCCCAATGAGGGGATGCGAGAGGTCAATGTGAGAGGTCTGGCCTAGGAAGATTTGGAAGAAAGTGATTACACATGACTTATATATGACCTTAGATAGGACTCTTTAGAAATGGGTAGGCTTTTGGACCTTAGTTTGTAGCTTGTGCATGAATGCTTTCTCTACTTTGAGTATATTTTCGGTGTCTGAGCCGGTGGGTCTCTTCCTTCTTGGAAATTGTCTCCCTGCTTTTAAGTAGGGGTAAAGTTTGCATACATCCTGCTTCCCAGACCTTAATTTTTGTAGGATTTTACTGGGTTTGTTATTGTTTACTCCGTATTTATTTATTTATTTATTTATAAACTTACATTTTTTTTTGGGTTTGTTGGCAGCTGCGTCACACCTAAAGGCCAAACACTTGTGGTTGAAGTGGAATTATTTTGTGGCAGTTAAAATGTGGCTTCAAGAAATTTATAAAGAGAGGGAAGGTCATCATGGAATGAGAATTGGGGAAAGGTAGATGGAGAGTGGGTCCCATGTTTGCAATCCAGCTGTTAAATAATAATAATAATAATTTTAATTTTAATATTATTTCAAAAAATGAAAAATCATGAGTTGTCAACCATGGTAAAAATATCATGAGTGGTCCATTACCATGGTAAATACTATAAATGGTGAATTTTGTGATGTGGTAGAAATTTACCGATGTTTTATTTTTATTTGCTCTTATTATTATTATTATTATTTAAATTATAAAAATGACATTGAAGTGTATTTATTGGAAAATAAATTAAGTGTTTTATTTTATTCATTGGCATGCAATGGGAAAAATGGGACCGTACAGAGAGCTTCAAATTGTAACGGAGTTTCAAAAATGGCGCGAAACCAAGTCTAACTGCCAACGTTATGGCGTATTAGGGCATACGGCGTCGTTTGACTGGCTACTTTTCCAATTATCTCCCGCAGTTTGGGCCCATGGTCCAGGCCCACTATCCATCTTTGACTGGCCATTGCTATTTGGTACAACTTTGTTCTTTTCTCCAATAGAAACTACTCTATAAAAGTCCTCCCTAATTGGATTTATGGATAATTAGAATAAACTTTTCTTTTAAAAAAATCCAAAATGAATGGATTTAAATTTTCCTTAAAGTTAAATAAACTTTTGAAATGAGTAAGACCCCTTTTTTTGTCCTAGTACAATCCTAATCAAAGTATAGTTTTGCCTGTGATGTATTTTAATTAATTGTAGTTAATTGTAGAGTATGAGAGTAATAATTGAGATATATTAGGTTTTTATTTCACTATTGGGGGACATTCATGCTCATTTTTTCGTTTATTATTTGATTTTGTCCTTTTTTAATTTTTTTATATCTTTGTTTCCTTTTCCTATAAAAATATTTTAAATTTCTTTTCGATTTTTATAAAATATTTTAAAAAATTCAAAACTCTTTGTTTTTGAAATAAAATTAAACATAAAAATTAATATATATTCCATTCATCTCAAATTAAATATTTTCACTTTTTGTTTTCTAGTATAATAATTTTATTTTGTAAAAAAATAAAAAAATATGAATTTAAGACATAAAGATGCATATCTGTTAATTTTTAATTTTTCAAACTAAAATTGAAAAGAAATTAAAAAATCTTGATTAATCCTCTCTCTGACCTATTTTATATTGCATGTTTCGATTTACGATGTTTGACTGGAATTATTTTCAAATCATTTTATATAAAAAATAATGTAAAATTTAAAAAAAATAACATGTTAAAATACTACATGAAAAGATCTACAAAACTAGTATGACATGATTGTATTATTTTAAGTTTTAAATAGCACTTTCACACTTCAATGCCAATCCTTGAAATTAGTCGATCATGTTCGTGTTCTATTCGTAGACATTGGGTTACTTTAGATTTGGGTGAGTTCGATTTGAAAATATATCACTGCAAGATGTCATGGTCCAGGTCGACTCAATGAGTTATGAACATTATTTTTCTAATATTTAAATTCATACTAATAGTTGCGTTTTGCATTAAAAAGGCATAAAAAAGGGAATACTCCTCCGTCCAAGTGTATTTATCCAGTTTGACTTTTTCGAGTCAAACAGGACAAACTTTGAGTTTCAAGTAAATAAAAACTGTAATGTATTTTAAAATAAGAATGACTTTATTGAGAGTAATTTTCAAAATTGTATTTCATTATGCTAATATGCAATATAAATTGAGAGTAATTGGAGTTCAAAGTTTGTCCAATTTGACTCGAAAAAGTCAAACTGAACAAATATACTGGGACCGAGATAGTATTAAAGCTATTACAATCTTTTAATTTATTTTTAAGTAAATTTTAAATGAATATTTATATTATAAATAATACGGAGTACTCCGTATAATTTTTTTAAAATATGTACAACAAGTTAAAAAAACTAAGACTAATACAATATCATTAAAAATTTAAAATTTCTTACAAATACGGAGTATAAGCTTCAAGCTATTATTTCCTATTAATGTATTCGTACATGATTATGAAAAAATCTACCATAGCAGGTCTATCAAGCTAAGTCATATTCCGGACGGTAGGATCTGACTTTCTTTAGGGTATCATTTCGAGTTCATCATCTTCAGGTTCATTAAACAAAATATATGTTCAAAACTTAATATTTTTGGGTCGAGTCTCAAGTAAAAAAAATCATGTCATTTTTTGCTTGGTTTTTTAGTTCTCGAAAGCACTTACCACTCCAATCTATATCGAAGCTTTTCGAAGTTGCTATTGTTGCTTGAGTTTTGCTTTAGTGGTGTTAAGATCTATATATGCAATACATGTCATCTCTTTTTATGAGAAAAATAAGAAAAACTTATTTTTTTTCTATTCCTTCAAAATTCTTTAGACCATTCAAAATAGTACGAGGTACATTAATCAACAATTCTACATGTATGGAAGTCAAACACTTGCCACAAAAAAAAAGCAAAAAGTTGTTACCGCATCAGGAATAGGGAGTACATTTTTTTTATAAAAAGATTTATAGGAATAAAAAAATGGAACGCCCACGTACCCTAAGCGCCTTCACACCCTGACCCAACAAAATTGTGAAGAAGTAAATCATAGTATAATCTTAATTTAGTCCTTGGAGAGATTACCCCGTGTCCGATGCACACAAAGAGCTATTACATCACTGTCATAAATCGAACATAGTATTAATGGGCTTGACATTCTCTCCTTGAACCAATTGAGCTACCCATGCGGGCACAAAGAAGATTTATAAGATTAAAAAGATTAAATTCATACGTTACATTAAATTTCTCCGTAAAACATTTTCTATTTTTATTACTCCGAATTTTAAATAAGAATGTTGGCACTGTAAATCACAACTCGATGTATATTTTACAGTACTTTTAATATTATATATTGACACTCTTTAACCTTATAAATTATATTTTGATATAAAATAAGGAGTATTACAAGTCTCATTTCGATATATTAAATACTATATATATTTTAGTCTTACTTAAATAGTTATCTCTTTCATAAAAAATGAGTAAATTCCATAAATGGTCCCCAATTTTATGTAGTTTTCCATATTTAGTCCCCAATTGTAAGATATTCCATAAACAATCCTTAATTTTTAAAAACTATTCCGCAAATAGTCCATTTAACCAAATATGACTATAAATTTTGGGTAGACTTTCAAAATAATTCTTTCTAATAAGGTTTTTTCCAAAAATTACTAACGTGGTGTTTTATAATTGAGATGTGTTTCATAGATATTCCTTTATTAAAAAAATGTCTATTAAATACTATATATATTTTAGTCTTACTTAAATAGTTATCTCTTTCATAAAAAATGAGTAAATTCCATAAATGGTCCCAATTTTATGTAGTTTTCCATATTTAGTCCCCAATTGTAAGATATTCCATAAACAATCCTTAATTTTTAAAAACTATTCCGCAAATAGTCCATTTAACCAAATATGACTATATATTTTGGGTAAACTTTCAAAATAATTCTTTCTAATAAGGTTTTTTCCAAAAATTACTAACGTGGTGTTTTATAATTGAGACGTGTTTCATAGATATTCCTTTATTAAAAAAATGTCTATTAAATGACAGTTAAATAGAAGCTATTTTGATGCTCTTTATAATCTAAACTATGAATAAATCCTCAAATTTTTTTTTTAGTTAAGTGGGAAACACATCTCAATTATAAATACTCCGTAGCATTTAGAAAACACATCTCAATTAAAAAGGAGTATTTAGGAGACACATCTCAATTATAAAGTAGCACGTTAGTAATTTTTACTTATTGAAGATTATTTTGAGAAAAACCTTATACAAAGAATGCTTTTGAGAATTTATTCAAAATATTTTGTCATATTTGGTGAAAAAGATTATTTGTGAAATAGTTTTCAAAAATTAAGGACTATTTATAGAATATCTTATAATTGGGAACAAAAATATAAAAAATTATACTCCCTCCGTCCCATAAAGTGTTACCCATTTTGACTAAAGTTGAAATTAAGGGAGAGATAATTTTGTGTTGACTTTCCAAAAATACCCTTGATGTGATAGGTAAAAGTAGGATGTGATGTGTAGATTATTAGAAAAAAGGTATGATGTGATAGGTAGGGTTTGAAAAAGTAAGGGGTAAAAGTGGATTTTTAATAGAAATGGGTAGGAGATTGTGGGACACAATTTTTTTGAAACGTGTAAATCTTTTTGGGACGGAGGGAGTATATAATTAGGGACCATTTATGAAATTTATTTTAAAAAAAATCTATTCGGCCAAGCAATGAGGGTAAAATATAAAGCCCCATTCTGTTTATTTTTTTCTTTTGAGTGCAACAAAATATTTTTTGTCAAAGAAATGGAGGGCTCACAAGTCTACACTATATTTTAGACCCACAAAACTATACCTAACGTTATACAGTGTAATTAATTAAATGTGGTTTCATCATATATGGTGGAATTAAGCGTTCCATTGTTGGATTTGAACGTTTACCAGTCGGAGTAATTTTTTTTGAAAGGAATGGTAAATTATAAGGAAAATGCTAGGGGTACATCAACAATCAACAGTGTACTCCAAACATCCCCACTCCCTCCATCACCACACAAAAAAGATAAGAAAATTTCAAAAAAAAAGTAAAAAATAAAAAAAAATAAAATGAATGGTGTAGAGGCAAGTGGTATACATTTGGGGTACACCCCTAGCATATTCCAAATTATAAAGCTACTTGGATATCAAGTTGTACACGGTTTGATATGCGATTGAAAAATTTTACACTGGAATTTTGTATCAGTGTAAGCTATAAGTGTGCCGGTACAAACTTTTTCATGTGACTGATAAGTAATTATATATTGTTTTATTTCTTTATGAAATCATTTAAGGAAAAGGTCAATGTGCATCCAATGTGTAATGTCGAAGCACTTGTGGTTTTCTAAATTACACCATTATAAAGAAACCATATAGTTTTTTTTTTAACTTTTGAAAACCATTTTTTAAAATGGGATCATAACTTGTTTTTCAAAAACAATTAGCGATTTGATACTACAACAGTTAATTCCGAAAACCAAAATTGGGCAAAAAAATAGAAGCAATGCCAAATGAAGCCTTAAACTCCTCTACGTAAATTTTAACTTTTTATTTGTTTTATTATGAAATTTAATAAATATAATGTAAATATTTTGTAGTTAACATTTATGTATAAGAGAAAAAAATAATATGCACAATTTCAGTTTCTAAAGAAAATACACTCCCTGTCTCGAAATAATAATCTTTATTTTTTAGACATCCTAAAAAAAGAGTCCTTTTGTCTTTGTTTTATTGGAAGTTTTGGGTTGTAGACTTTGACTATCTATTTTGATTGTTGTGTGAATAATAGGTTTGCTTTTGGTTTTAAAAAATGGCTCTAGTAACGTAGAGAGATAAGAGAAAAAATTGGGGCTACATTTTTTTAAAAGTAGCTCTAATTCTCTTGCTTGCCTCTACATCACTGTCAATCATATAATATTATTTTTAAAAAACATGTTTCACGTAAAACTAGAGCTATTAATTTGGGACGAGAAAATATAAAATTTACTTCACGACAAGTTATAAGTACCTCAAATTATTTTTGAATAAAAATAGTGATACTTTCTTCGTTTTGGAGTGTTTGTCCAATTTTGATTTTTTACAATTGATCTGGATCAATCTTTGACATGCATTTCAATAAAAAATGTTTAATACTCTCTCCGTCCTAATTTAAATTGCATGCTTGAATTATTTTCATATCAATATCTAATATTAACTTATTTCATTAATGATCAAAATTTGTTAATTTTAACGGTAAAAAGTCAAAATTAGAAAAGCCTCCATGAGCATGACCTAACTACTCCCTCATATAGTCAAATGCTGAATGGGTGAGATGACCCCTAACAGCTCATTGTACTCTATTCATAATCAATTTGAAATACATATTTTTAGGGTAAATTCTTATGAGAAATTTACCCTATTTTTAGGGTAAATTCTTATGAGAAATTTACCCTTATACTACGTTTGGTTCAAGGAATTTGAAAGGAAAAAGAAATGAAAGTAAAGTGGAAAACAATTTTTCTTGTTTGGTTAAAGAGGAAAAGAAAGGAAAAGTGGAAGGAAAAAAAAAATGTGAAGGCAAAATGTACTAAGTGGAGGGAAAACCAAAATCCTCCCATTTTGGTGAGGAAAATGAGAGAAAATTATTTCCTTTTTTTTCCTTCCGAATTCCTTGAACCAAACATAGTGTTAGTGTAAAAGAGATAAAGTAAGAGTGGAAAGAAAATCCATTTTTTTAATAAATCAGTAAAATCACTTCTGTGAGAAGATCCACACATTGTTATATGAACATAAGATCTACTACCTCCGTCCTAGAGTATTTGTCCACTTTCATTTTTACACACCATCTAATACACTTCTTTAATCCATTTTATTTTGTAATTTGTATATTAAAAAATTATAAAAATTATATACTCCGTATTAATAATCTATATGTTAAGACAAATCAAACAAGATCACACATGACTATATTTAGGCTTACACATTGAGAGAATATGATGAGTCAAAGTGCTTAGATGAACAGTTCCAAAAGTCAAAAGTGGACGAATACTCCAGGACGGAGGGAGTATGATAAAACACTTTTTGAAACTACTCATAAATGAAGTTCTCATTTTATTTAAAAATTAGCTGTATAGAATACCTCTCCGGCTCTCCCAAAATAGAATTTCACAATTAATCGGATATAATTATTACAGAGTACTAATAAAAAAAAAGTAAAAGTGCAATTGAAATATATGCATGGGAGAAAGAAATTATAAGAGCCACACCCATCTTTCTTCAAAATAAAAATGAGTATTTTTTTTGTGGATGAAAAAGAAAAGAATTGTACTCTATAAAACTTTATTTTGAGACAGGATGTACAACATTATATCCTTTTCATTTGCACAATTTTTTTTGTAGAAAAATAAATGAGATTGGATAATAAATAGAACATGGGCTACTAGCTAATAAACATGTTCTTTTCAAGTCATTCTAGGTTCACTTGAGCAGTTGAGCCCACAATTCCACATCAAATAAGTGAAATAAAAAAAATCAAAAAATAAAAATAAAAATTAAATTGTTCAACTTTCAATCTAGTTCCAACACTTCTCAGTTCAATGCAATATATTTCAATTGCAAAAGAACAAATCCCAAGGAAAAAAACTACTTAAGGGCAGAAGTGGCAAAGCACACAAACATGAATTTATTTCTATTATGTTATTTTTTTTGTAAATAGTTACAACAATGAACCAATCAATACTCCCCACATGGTGTTCTTATATCACAACAAATCAATTCTATTTTGAAGGGAGAAAAAAAAGAAAGAAAAAGAATGATTTGGCCTCAGCATTTCACAGCTAATGGGAGGAAAAATATGGAAATCCCTACCTGTTTTCTGTTATTTTCACTTGAACAGAATGCTGAGTATAAATAATTTGATTCATTTTCTGGAGAAACTAAATAAAGTCAGGCTGACCTGTGGACGTTAAACAACGGTGCCACATTCGGCTGTTGGGGTCCACACATCTCGCCTGAGAAATGACTTCGGGAATAGGAAAGTAGACATAGTGTGTGTTGCATATTCCCACTGTGATGCCACTATATCCAGCAAACGCACCGTGAACCTGCCAAAACCCCCAAAAGACAAAAATACCCTTAAATTTATAAAAATAATGCAGAAAATGAGTGAGATTATAAAAGATATAGATTTTAAACTTCTGTAAATGTAAATGTTTTTATACTTTTGTTAAGTACGCTGCATAATTTACTACCCAAATAATTCTGAAACATATTAACAAAAATATGGGTGAACTCACGGCATTTTGACCAAGTACAGTGCAGAGAATCCCATCTGATGCATTTGCGCGGCATGCACGGATCATGTATGTAGGATCGATGTATTTCACATCTGCTGGTGCTCCGATCCCCTTGAAGTACTTCTTTATCTGGCAAAGAAGTATAAGGAGAAGGGTTTAAAAAAAAACCATTTAACTTGTATCACAATTTGCATTTCATAAATAATGATAGAGAAAAGTGAGGACACAACTGCTGAAGTGATTACTTATTAGCAATGGGAGGGTTTAGAAAAAAACCAATTTGTGAACTGTTAGAGTACATCCCACATCGGAAATCCAAGATTAAAATAATCGGAATATAAACTCTAGAGTTGAACTAACTAATCGATTGAATTCAATCTTTTAATGTGGTTCATCTCAAGTGTCTTATTTCCCAATCCAGTTGTCCATACCCATCCCAAATTCTATCATGAACATTGTAGGTAAATATTTCAAGCGCTATGGAATTTTCCATTTCCCTCCTAAAGATTATTGAGATGCAACTTATTGGGACCTTAATAAAAATTTTAGGAAACACTAAAACCTTGCATCAGATAATTAATATCAAGAGAAACCAAGTTTAATAAAGGTGCAACGTCTAACCTCTTGCTGTATATGAACACCAATGTCTCCAAGCACGGTATTTCCAGATGCGTCCTTGGCATTTGTTTTCTTAAGGAAAATCTGCAAGGGAAGTTGAGTTAAGTAGCAAACAGGCAAGGCTTTATAAACATTAAACACACACTAGAAATGATAAAAATGGTGCAACTACAGCTTGGGTTGAGGGAAGGGAAAGACTGTAAGCACCTAAGAATTTACTCTCTAAGTCTTTTTTTGTCTTGTCCGGCATCAACTTCAATTAGTATAAATATAGTTGTAGCATTTGATTTGATCTTTATCATAGCTTTTAAGTTTAATACTAATTTATAAAGGTCAACTACCTAACTAACCATGTACTGATGCATCTTGTATACATATTTGCTGTGAAATCTAAAATAAGATCTCCACATAAATCTTGGTTCTTGTTCGTCTGGAAGAGTTTGGAAAGGAGAGGAAAGTGGAGTGTTGTGGGTTTGGTTAGGAGAATTGGAGGGAAAGGGCAGGACAATAGATCTATTAAACAAACTCCTCAGATCTCACTACCCCAATTTATTCTACATTACAATTGTTATATGTATAGATTACTACTATATTTTTAGCTGCAAACAATATTATATCAAATACGGAGTATAATGTTTTTTTGAAATGTTTTTCTATTATAACAATTCCTCCTCATTCTTCCATCAAATAGGGTACTACATCTTTTTAAACTCTTTCAATTCCCACCTTCCCCTCTTGTGAACCAAACAAAGGCTAAGAGTGGACAATCTTCTGGAGAAACTTTATTCATTTCCACTTATTATATGTTTGTGTTTGTCACACGCCTCCAATTTAGGGTATTTGATGCTCTTTTGATATCATTTTGAGTTAAAAATGCTCTTTAATTAAAAAGAATGTTTTTTGTTTGTTAATTTTAAAATATTTAACGACTAATTTTTAAATCAATTTACAACGTTTCACTCAATACATCACTACTTTAGTGTTTTCTGTTCACAAAATATCTTAAGTTTTTAATTTAAAACACAAAAATATTCTTTCACGAAAACTACTTTTGTAAGAAAAAACTCACTTTAAATGCACAACAAATATCCCTTTAAGCTGTGTGTGTGAGAGGGGAGGGGGGGGGGGGAGGGGTTGGGGAGGAGATTATTGCACAATAACTTCCCCTTATGGGCCCCTCACATGCAAGACAAAGTCCATTTAATCGATGCCAAGCCAATGGGCTTAAAATGATAGGATTGTGACATCCATCCCTCCCCCCTCAGAATTTTGCTGTGTCAGGGAACAGTGGTTACCACTAAATGTAGGGAGATCAAATTACAATGTGATACAGTATCTGAATCTCATGTCCCAAGGGGGACAAAGAAATACAGAGTAATAACCATGGCATAATTTTACCTGGCCTGCACCCTCAGCCACACAGAGTACAGCTGAACCCTTTGTGTCAAGCAGATACTTTAGATGTCTCAGTACACCATGTGGTCCATCCAGATTAAATGGTACCTGGAAATGTACGATAAGAGACGACTAATCCGTTAAACTATAGAAATATAGCAATAATAGGTTTAGCAATATTATATTCCATATTTACATTAGGTTGAGTATGTTTGGATCCCAGTAGAATGCTAGGGAAAAGAAAAAAAGTTCACGAAATTATGTCTTATGTTTAGTTTTACTTTGGAAAATGGGAAGGGAAATGAAATATGATCTTTTTAAAAAGAAATAGTACATATTTTGTAGATCCTTAAGGTTTAGGTTTTCTGTTCTTATTGGGTGCTCACTATTTCTTCATATAAAGAGTGCAGTAGTCTTTTGGAATTATGAATTTTTTAGTGGAAAAATCATATGAATAAAAAAAGGTGAGTAGGTTTTATTTAACACATCCAAGGACGCCATAGATACTTTTTTTTTTCAACAGAGTATGCATTAGGCATACCTCTGGAATTAAGCATATATCAATTTGCCCACTAGCTAGTGATGCATGCATTGCTATAAAGCCACTGCTACGACCCATCAACTTCACAACCCCAATGCCACGATAAGCACTATGAGCCTGTCAAGAAAGGAAAGAATTTCAACTCAAAATATTCTGGAAAAAATTAAGAATGTATTAGTCAAGTCCCAGATGGTTCATAAAACTTAAAAGTAGTGCATAAAAAAGTCAATACTTGCTTTCTGGCTCGTTGACCACACGAGGACCACTCACGGTGTCGGGAGGACGAGGCTTGTCAGGGCAACACGCGCCCGCCATTCAAGATATACATCGTTGAGATTTGCTACAAACTAACTCATGGAATGTAGGTTTATCTTAGGTAATAGTATTAGCTCCTAGAAGGTAATATAAATGACATTATGTTGTTTGGTTCATGGAATGTGACCCTTATCATGTCATTAAAATGTTAGGGGCAAAGTAAGAATATTCAAAAAATATTACTCCGGGGTACAATTTTACAATACCTAAGAAACCCAAGGTAGTTAGACCATCCCCAACATTAAGTCACTTATCTACCTAGAAGTAACAATCTCAGATTACCTTGGCAATATGAAAATTTGAATCAAAGAAGATAATATCTAAATTTTAATGGTAATTTAGGTGGTGCCAAGGTGATGTCTGACCACCTTGACACCACCTAGAAACAGGCTAAATTTAATGTATTATCCGTGCTATAAATATTTATTTATTATAGAATTAATTACAATTCAATTTGTATGAGATCAAAGGCTAAAACATTTTGATTCATAGTTAAAAACAGTCAATGAATCAATGCTCTACAAATTAAAAAGCATCAAATATCTCATATTTCATCTAGTATATGTCTACTATTGCCTAATTGCAGTTCAATATAAGCAGCACATAGATAAAACAATGTCATTTTAATTTTTAGCATCAGGCGCCTGGGTGGGTGACTGATTTTTTTTTTAGACAACTTAGCCTAAAATCAGGTGCTTGCCTTTTGTCAAGCATCTAAGCAGTTGCCTACTACAACTGGAAGTGTAGATCTAAGTTGTATGGAATTGTTAATAGAAGTACAGAACCAAATTGAAAAGCATGATGTGGTCAAAACCTCAATGTAAGCAGAATTAATTGCTCTTTGTGCTTCTTCCACTGCAGTATCAAAACCAAAGGTTTTATCCATGAGCAGAATATCATTGTCTATTGTTTTTGGTACACCAACCACAGCCACCTTTAAACGTCTTTTGATACACTGAATATCAAATAAAGTCACGGATTACTAGTTTCTCACTTTAAAGATGTACAAGAACATATACAAGATTCATTTGAACGTTGTAGGTTAAAAACCTCATCATGGATAGCATTAGCACCAGCATGTGTGCCGTTTCCACCTAGCACAAAAAGCATATTGATTCCTCTTTGCTGAAAACAAATAGTTAAAAAAAAAAAGTTAGTTGCTCACCAAATCATACCACATGCCTTATAGGATAGGGGGAAAAAGTTTCACTAGAAAGTGTATTAAGCACACCTCAATACTGTCCACAATGTCGCTGACTTTAGGTCCTCCACGTGAGACTCCTAGCAAGCTCCCCCCAGAGAGATGGATGTTTTGAACTACTTTCCTTGATAGCTGAAATCAATAAAGACTTAGAGAGAGAGAGAGAGAGAGAGAGAGCGATTCTTTGAAAAACATAAACAAACCCCAACGTTAGCCTTTGTTTGGTCAAAGAAAAATATACTAATTTGAAAAGATGTTGAGCTTGGTTTGAAAATGGTGAAAAAGGAAGCCAAAAAAAAAGTGCAAGGAAAATTATGAAAAACATAACTCCTCTAAAATGCCACAAATTGGCAGGGTGTTATATGAAGTTTGGAGGAGTCTATAAACTTGCAGCGAGATAAAATTGAAAATGCCAACTTGTAAGGAACTCACAGGCATTTCAGCAAGACCATCATCAGAAAAGCCACGGTATCCAAATGGAATTCCAACAATCTTTGTCACACCATATATCTCTAGTGTGATGACTATCTGCAACCAATAACATCAACAATGGAACACTCAAATTGGACATAACTATCCCGTAAATGATTCCCAATAGGTAAGATTTACCTCAAACTAAAATATACTAGACTCAAGTGTTGTTGGCAATTAATGCATGATACTCAACTCACACCTGTGATCCCAACCCAGACTGGAAAGCTGAATGGGTGGACAAATGGGCCCAACTCGAGCCGGCAAACTACTACCAGACTAGACTTCAATATCATGTTAAATTGGACTTACCTCACCTTATACAGATCCTCAAAATGTGACATTTACCTCACACTTAGATACGGACTAAAACCTAGTAGACAACTGAAGTGGAACGTTCAAGAACTAAGGACTATGATCACAGATAAACTAGAAACCCCATCATCATAAATTACAAGCATGTTTTAGGTAATTTATATTTTTCTATCTAGTCTAGCTGTCTAGATCCAGGTGTTTTAGATAGAACATCTTAGATTTAATAGCAAAAAAACTGATATATGATGCAATTGAATAAGAATGCTAGAGCATAAATAGTAAAAAGATGATACAAAAGAGCATAAATAGTAGAAAGATGAAAATACATGTCTTATAACGTCATTGAGACCAGGACAAAGCCCACCACAAGTCACAATAGCTGCTTTTACTTCTTCTGGCTTGTAGTATATTTTCTCACGAGGACCGGCACGGTGAACCCTGAGTTAAGATTTTATCAATTGAACAAAGAATTATATTCCGTAACAGAAGCTTAGAACTGGAATTGTAGAAGATAATACATAAATGAAACCCAATTTAAGCCTCTTGATTAAATTTGTTACATCACTCTTGACAAGTTAATTAATTTTGAGCTAAAATAAGAAAATATTGTTTACTCTCTTCTTTTGCTTGAAATGTGGTAGCGCCCATCTTTGTAGCTATCTACAAAATGATGAACTCATTTCCTCTCTAAAGGGGAATTTATTTAGACTAAAAATCTTGTTATAAATGATAAGAATAAATTTATTACTCAATCAAGGTGCTAATCCTCTTAACTCACATGACTCTAATATGGGTCTAAAACACCTGAAGATCATAGCAATTGGGTTTCCCACTTGTTTACTGATCCCTATGATTTACTTTTCAATGGTTGTCCTTTTTTGACCACCACTCTGATCTTACGTATTAGCTATTAGAATGAGATATTTTATTGGGGAGTGGAGTTGGCAGGGAAATAGAGTCGCGTAGAATTTAAAATAGGGAGGGTTTAAAACTTAATTCCAAATAAGTAAACTATTTTTAAAAAAAAATCTTTTACAATCTCGGAAATTTTGGCCGAACATTTTGGTCCAATTTAGGATTTTGGGAACAAATAAGAAATCATGGACATTTAGTTCTATTTACCAATTGAAACGCGACATTCCAACCTTACAGAAAAAGATCAATAACCTTGATCAGCGCACGTCCGCTTTGGGCCAAACCATATTGCATTGATTTTATCAGGCATCTCTTTTTTTGGTATGTCATAGGTCATACTCCTCCCATCCCAAAAAGATGTGCTCAATTTGACAGGATGCAGTTTTGAATAAAGTGAAAATTGTGTGATTAAATTTATGTAGAAGAGAAAAAAATTGTGACTCACAAAATTTATCAGATATAGAAACATGTACATCATTTTTGGACAAATGGAAAAGGAAAACAATTGTCTTTTTTAAGAGGGAGAATATCTTAGCATGAAAGCGACACTTACCATTGTTCTACCCATGTACATCCAGGATCAATGCACTCCGCACCAGCAGATGTCGGAGATGAGTAATAGATTGTCTGACATATTGAAAATTTTCGTTAGTTTCGTTATAACAATTTGGAGAGCTCATTAGGAAAAAATCACTTTAAATTAAATGGGGAACAAAGACATCACAGCATGTCAAGTAACATTGATGGGTCGCCATAAAAAGAGAGAAGAAACACACCTTAAGAAGCACTCTGTCATTATTATTGACATAACCATGCCATTCTTCATCCGAGGGGTACCCTCGTGCAAAAACTTCACTTACTGGTGTTCTGTATTAGAATTTTGCATCAAGTTAAATTCATGATGAAAAAAAAGTTGTTCTTTCTCCCATCAACAAATGATTTACTTCATAGTCTTAAGCATTGAACACCTACATGGCTACATCCCCTACTACAACATTGTAGTCACACAATTTTGTAGTTCACCTACATGACTTCATAGTCATAAGCAAATTGTAGTTCACATTTTATTAATAGGTAGAACACATATACCTAACTAACTCAACCTAAACTAAGACTTTCACTAAATGAGTAAGCTACAAGTCTACAACTACAAATCCTATGCACATTGATGCTAGTTGACTTGAGCTACTACCAAACCAAACCCAACACAAGCCCTACATCCTACTCAAAAGTTGGTTTTTTTAGTAGTATGAAAACATTAAGCTGGAAGTAGCAACTCAATTCGATTAAGATTCAAAAAGAGCACATTGTCAAGTAAAAATTAGCAATTGAATAACAAACAAATAAACACATTCAAAGATTTGATTGGAGAATGAAATAGAGAGTAGATGGGAAGAATAGACCTCATCTTGAGGCAAAAAGTGGACGGATAGGAAACGGCGTCGGGGAATGTATCAGTGATGTGAGGAATGTTGAAGCGAGATTCGAATTCCTTCTGGTACTTCACCTTCCAATCAGGATCGCTGAAGTCAATGCCGGTCTTCCAGCTCTCAGCAGCTTTCACCCGAACAGTACTGAGCCTCCGGCTCACCGCCGAGCTCCGCCGAGGAGAAATAGCAAAGAGATCATTACGTCGGCAGAGAGCTCTCCTCCCGGGGAGAAGAATCTTCGTCGGTCCCATGACCGGCGAAATCGACTCCATGTTTGAACACACAAAGCCCTACTGGAGGAGTAAGCAGGTGGTGGTGTATGAATGCTGGTGAAGGAGAAGGAAGAAGACGGAGGAGGAGAGATCGGAGAGCGGCGGGAAGCTGCCGGAGAACGGAAAAATCAGTTCAATTCCTCAGGCATCCACCGGGAAAATCGTTTTCCACTCTCCTTGTATTCTTAAACTTTTCAATGACAAATCCCGAAGGGAAGGAAAAGCTATTGCTAAATTCTAAAACCACCCCTTTTATACTCTCCTTCAAATCAAACCAAAGTTATTTCTAAATCAATATAAGTTAATTTTAGTGTAGACTTAAAATATAAAAATTATTTTTTATATATTAAAAAATTATATTAACAAATTTCACAAAGCAAGCGATTACAAAGAAAAATTTAGTTTATCAAATGATTGATGAAAATATATTTAAAATGTATAGTTTGACTTATTAATAGTAACTATGACATTTTTGTAGAACGGAGTTAATATAAAATAAATATTTTTTTGTGTATAAAAAGGGAGAAGATTTAATTGTTAATTTGTTATAAATGAGTTGAATTTAGCAAAATAAAGATAAATTTAGCAAAAAATCTTTCCCAGCCCATGCCAAATGGTTAATGAAGTTATTAGAGTGTGTTCTTTAGAGATTAGACTCTTAGCTTTTAGTTTCTCCAATTTTTTCCAGTTCTTCTGGTTTTTTTCAGTTTCTTCAAGTTCTTCTAGTTTCTTTTAGTTTTTTTCATTTTCTTTCAGTTTCTACCAGTTCTTTCTAGTTTCTTTCAGTTCTTTCTAGTTTCTTCAAATTATTCTCATTTTCTTCAAACTCTTTCTACTCGCCCAAATAATTACTTAAAAACAATATATTTTTAATGTGATTATTATCATTATTATTATAATAATAATTAGTATTATCTTCATTATTATTATTATTATTACAACTATTATATTTATAACTATTGTTTTTAAATTATTTCATTTTGTATTTTTTCCATGTCACTATTTTTATGATTGACACCCTTCTAAATTGATATGAGTAAAATATTTTAGAGAAAACAACTAAACTAGAAGTAAAACATAAAAATCTACCGAAATATGAGTTCTATATTTTTATTCCTAAACTAAGAGTTACGATGTCAATCATGACAGAAAAATAGATTTGATCACATTATGTGAGAGGTATGATATTTAAAAATAAAATCGTGTAATATATAAGGTGTAATTAGAAATATGTTATTTTATAATAAATACTGCATAAATAATTAAATTGAGTGAAACCTAACCACAATAACTTTTAAAAATTTAACATTTTGATATTTATGCTAACTTTTTATTCAAATAAAATATTTTTTTGCAAAAACATATTTTGGTGTATGTAAAATGACAATAATTTTTTATCTAAAAGACATTGATTAAGATAACATGATTATGAATATAATAATAATAATAATAATAATAATAATAATTACAATAATAATAAAATTATAACGACAACAATTAGAATGAGAATTATATAAAAAAATAAACTTAAATAAATTTTTTTAAATTTGTTTTTAGATTTTTCAATTTTTTTCTAGTTTTTCTAGTTCCTTCTAATTTCTTCCAGTTTTCTCTAGTTTCTTCGAGTTCTTTCCAATTTTTTCCGGTGTTTTCTAGTTTCTTCCAATTTCTTTCAATTCTTTTCATTTTTTCCAAATCTAGCTTTTTTTTCAGTTCTAAAGTAACATGCCCTCAGAGTCTGAAACGGTATTGTATGGTGTACTATTTTCTTAATTTCTTTTTGTTTTTACATTTTAGAAGAAACTCAAAGAATGATACGGAGTATATTCGTATCTGTTCAACTTCATTCTTTCCAAACCAAACTTTTTCCTAGAGTTCGAATTGTTTTGGGGTCAAGATTTACGAATTTTGATGGCAAATTATTGAAAAAATGCCGTCAATTGTCCCTTTTAGTCTTTTTGTTTGTTTTTTCCACCAAGTTCAAAAAATGTAAAATTATATGATTAAATTTTGTACATATGAGATTAGAGGCATTCAAAAAAGAAAAGTAAAAATAGGATATATAAATGTAATATTTTATTACAGTATATAATATTTTTTATATATAAATTTGAAACTTCAATGCTTTGAAGTTTCTGAGTTTGACATATTAAGATCTGAACATTTGGTATAGTAAGAACTTAACCTGTGACATATTAGGTGGCAATATAACCAAATTTAATTTACTCTCATGAATAACTTCACCTTTTATTTACTCTTTTCCAAAAATAATAATTGCTTATTTTAAACTCAGCAATCCAAATTTAGAATAAAAATTATTTTCCGTATTGTTTATTATTTTTAATAAAATACTTTTATTCATAACCATACGTAAAATTATTTATAATACATGTCTCGCATTCGATAAATCATAAAATTTACAAAAACATATTAAGAATAATAAATAAAATATACTCCTCACCTATAAATAAATTCTATATTTGATCATTATACATTTACATGATATTCGTTTGATTATATTTATTTAAATTTGTTTGAAGTACTAAGGGTCTGTTCTTTAGTACTGTAAAAAAACAGCTGGAAGTTTGAAAAACTGGAAAAAACTAGAAGGAACTGGAAGAAACTGGAAAAAAGTGGAAGAACTGGATGGAATTGGAAGGAACTGGAAGAAACTGGAAAAAACTGGAAGGAACTGGAAGAAATTGGAAAACCTAAAAAAACTTTAAAAATATTTATTTTAAATTCTTATTGTTATAAATTATTATTATTATTATTATTACTATTATTATTATTATTATTATTATTATTATTATTATTATTATTATTATTATTATGATCATCATCATCATAATCATCAACATAATCATCATCATCATCACGTTATCTTAGTGAATGTCTTTAAAATATAAAAAAAGTATTGTTATTTTTTAAATACAAAAAACTACTTTTACAAAAAATAATTATAATATAAAGTTAGCATAAATATAAAAATATTAAATTTTAAAAAGGCTGTGTAGTTATAATGCACCTCAATTTATTTATGCAGTATTTATTATAAATAATGTATTTGTAATTATAATTTATATATTAAAACATTTTGTTTTAAATATCATACATGTCACATAATCAAACCTATTGTTTCTTTCATGATTGACATTTTATTTTTATTGAATTCCTATTTTTGGAATTAAGACATAGAACTTTTTTGTTTACATTTTTTATGTTTTACTCATATCTTAGTCATTTTCTCTAAGCTCTTTTGACTTACAATTTTTTTTATAAAAACTAGAAAAATGAAAAATTTTTAAGTAATAAAGAGAAAACTGAGATGTCTTATAAAAAGTTATATTAATAAAATATTCAATGTAACTATTTTATCCATAATTTTTTAGTATAATTTAACATATTGATGTTTTCCTGTTTTATCATGTATAATAATATACAAAAAAAATATCTTATCATATTAAAAAGTTGAAGAAAAAAATAATAAGTGTGAATCGTAAAAATAGTGAAATAAAAAAAATAATTTATAAACTACAGTTATGAATATAACAGTTGTAGTAATAATAATAATAATAATAATAATAATAATAATAATAATAATAATAATAATCACATTGAAATATATCATTTTTAGAGTAATTAGTTGAGGAGTAGAAAGAATTTGAAGAAAATGAAAAAAGTTGGAAGAAACTGGAAGAAACTTGAAAGAACTGGAAGAATCTGGAAGGAACTAAAAGAACTGGAAAAAACTGGAAAAAACTGGAAGAAACTGGAAGTTAAGAGTTCAAGCTCTAAAAAACAGGCCCTAAATAAAATATTTTCTTCACCTATAAATAAATTTTATATTTGTTTTGACAACCAATATGTCAACTGATTTAAGATATAGAACATGTGAATTCAATATTTGGATATAAAATCATTGGAAAATTTAATTATGAAAGAGAAATATTTATTTTTATGATAATATTCTTTCCAAATCAATATAGTTTTTTTACTCTCTTCATTTATAAAGTAATTTTTATTAATAAATAAGATGATCTTTTCACATTTAAATAACTTTCATACGAGTATTAGTTTTTGATATGATAAAATGAAAATAGTTTTGAATCTATTTATTTTAATAACAATAATAACTTAAATTTAAAAAAAAAATACATCTCATTAACTACATTAAAAAATTAAAAATAAATACATGACTTGATTAGAATTGAACAAGTTTTCACTTCATTTGTAATAAGACTATCAATAAATAAATAAGATTTCCTTCCCTAAAAAAAATACTTTCCTAACCTCTAAAAATGTATACTCCGTATTTGTTCACGACATGTTTCAAGGAAGTTAGTTTGTATTTTATTTATATTCAATATTTATTTAAAATAAAATATAAAAGATATATTTTAATCTCTACATAAATATACCATAAATAAGACATGACTAAAGTATTTTTTTAAATAATCAAATACTTAAAGAAAATAAATTAAGAAAAAAATGTTTTCACGGGTTTGAATGATTTTGTATTCAAATAGAAAGAAAAAAACTAAAAAAAATATCAATTTTTTTTCTAGATTTATATTCACAATCATCGAATCACTAATATTTTTTATATTAATTTTTTTGAATTAAAGGAGTGGAATCGTTGAATTTTTAATGTTCTTAAATTATTATTTTTGGAATCATAATAGTACTAATCCAACCTTTTATATTTGAATCATGTGGGGAAAATGAATAATGCTTTTCAATCAATGCGAGAGATGAGAATCGTATTAATACAGAAGAGATGAATCTTATTATTGATTTCGCTATTCAAAATTAATGCAGCGATGTGTGACAGAAGAACCATATTCTTTGAAACATAAGGTTTATATTTGGTAACCCAATTTTTTTTGAAACAAAGTACACATCTCATTCATTCACCCAAAGAAGTTTACAGCAGTACGAGCCAAAAGCCACAAAGATTACAAATTCAACTTCAAAACTAAACCAAAGCTAGCTACTTGACTTCCCTTTTTTCCTCATTTTCCAGTATGTAATAGTCTGACTAATTACCTTATTAAACATATCCTCTTCTTGAGTTCTTTCTTTGGTATGGTACAATCTATTACGAGCTCTTCAAATGCCATAACAAATTGTCGTATGTAAGCTTGTAGCTTGTTGTTTCCTCTTCATATTGAGTTTCTTTAGATTATCCCTTATCTCCCTTACAATCCTACCCTCAATTTTGTATTTCAGCCAAGCTAAAGTTTTGTTAATAAGTCCTTTAGTAATCGGGCAGTTACTAAAGAGATGATCGTGACCTTCCTCTTAGCTTCTTGTTTACACGGCCCACAGATTCTGTCAATGCCAATGAACTTCTCAATCTCTATTTTGGTGCTCACTCTATCCTTGCAAATGAGCCATTGAAGCATCTGATATTTTGGAATGTATAGATTATTCCATACAAATAGATACCAATCAGGTTTTTCTTTTAGTCCCAATAACCACGAGTAGCCCTGTTCTGTAGTATTCTCCATGGTCACTACCATATATTCAAACCATTTTTATTGTGTATAATCTCTTTCTAATAAAAGCAACAACCACCTATTAGCTTATAATTGTCTATATCTCCCATTATGTATCTCTCATGGATCCGTCTAATCCAAAGGTTCTTATCACTAGCCACATTCCACCATTAGTTGTGGATTTAGGCTATGTTCCATAATATCATGTTCCTCAGTCATAATCCTCTATAGGTTTTAGACAGAAAAACCTTTTCCCAATTGACCAAAGATCTTTTGGTATAGTTGGCCGTAGCCCCTATAGGGAAAGTTTCTACATATACTTTGCCCAAATTTTTAAATTAATGCAAAAGAGATCGATTAATCATAGGACTATAATTTTTTAATTTTTTTTAATTATTGAGAAAGAGTACTGAGTAGTCATATTGTTTTAGAATCAAAACAAGAAAAGAGAATCATATTAATCCTAGAAGATGAATCAAAATTTTCAATAATTTAAACTAATATTGGGGGATCATATATTTTTCTCAACAATGATGAATGTATAACAATTGAGTTTATAAATGCAAACAAATGTTCTGAATCATGAACAACAATGTATCTTTGCTACTCCCTCCGTCCCATTTTAAATTGCTTGTTTGCCTTCTTTTTTCTCCGTCCCAAAATAAGTTGTCTGTTAGTTGTTTTCGTAAACTTTTAAAAATAAAATACCTAAATTACCTCTAAAATAAGTCACTCTTCTTCACCTTATCTTCTCATTCATCATCACCCCTTCTAAAAAGTAATGGCAATTTCGAAAAATCAACTCTATTTTTTATTTTCCTTAAATATGCCCAAAAATCAAAATAAGCGATTTAAATTGGGACGGATGGAATAACAAATATACGGAGTATAACACTTTTTGCTAAAAAAGATAATCAAACCCTTCAAAATCGAAATCAAACTTGTCTTCCAAAATTCACCTTGATGATGATTGTAAATTGTTCTATTTCTCAACAACATTGAAAAAGACAACTATGCTAAGAAGGTATCGTATTTCTCTCCAAATACTTATTTGTTTATTACTTATAAACAAATTTTAATTTATAGGTTGCTCATAGGTTAAATATCGTTAAGTAGAGTACAAGTAAAATTACTTAGATTATAAATAGTGAGACAATTTTTTAAATAATCTGATCAAAACAGAGAAATAAAAAAATGGATTAAAGGTAGATAAGTAAAGGTAAGACTTAACATTTTTTACTTATGAACAACTTATAAATCAGGTTTTAAACACACAGAAAAACATGTCATTTTTTAAGAATGAAATCATACTTTTATTACAGAATAGTATCAAAGTTTAAGGCATCACATATATGAGCTCGAGGGATGGAGACCTACTCCAAGAAATCAGATGCAGAATCAGATGCTCGAACCAACAAATGAGCAACGTTGATTTTCTATCTATAGACCACAAGAGAGAATTAAATTCTTTCTCAAATACTTTACAATCATTCACCACACCTAAGAAATAAGAGGTGTTATCCTCATCTGCTTGAAGAGCCAGAAATATCGTGCAATTGTCCAATTCAATAAACATAGTGTGTTGAACAAACTTATCTTCTAGCCATGTCAATGCCACCCATGGGGCCCCATGGGGTAGGTGGGGCGTCAAACACTAAGTGGAAATCCTCATAAACGAGTGGCCTAAAGTGTAATGTCGACACTAGCTTTTGTTTAAGGGGCTATTTGGCAACTTCTGTATAAGTAAGTGCTGAACCAGTAAGAGGTCTGAACCATTAAGTGCTGAACCAGTAAGAGGTCTAAACCATTAAGAGCTAGTATATTGCTTAACTATTCAGAGGCAAATGTTTGATCAATTCAGATAAGAGGTCTTAACCATTCAGACTCTGTATAATACTTAACCATTCAGAGGCAAATGTCTGAACCATTAAGAGGCTGAAACAAACAGTCTGAACCATTAAGGGGCTGTTTGTTTCAGCCTCTTAATGGTTCAGATGTCTGAATGGTTCAGCATTTAAGTTCAGACTGTTTGTTTCATCCTCTTAATGGTTCAGATGTCTGAATGGTTAAGAGATTTGCCTCTGAATGGTTAAGTATTATACAGAGTCTGAATGGTTAAGACCTCTTATCTGAATTGATCAGACATTTGCCTCTGAATAGTTAAGCAATATACTAGCTCTTAATGGTTCAGACCTCTTACTGGTTCAGCACTTACCCATTCAGAAGTTGCCAAACAGCCCCTAAGTGTTGAACCATTCAGACATCTGAACCATTAAAAAGCTGAAACAAACAGCCCCTAAATACCGCCGATGCAAATGTTGGGATGGTGGTGCGTAATGCTTAGGAGAACATTATACGAGGGATGCACCGTGGTCTTGGTAGAACAAAAAAACACGTCATTAACTTATTTATAAGTTAAAAATAGCTTATAAACAGTTTTGACCACAAAACATAAGGCTGCATAACCAGTTTTGACCACAATTTATAAACAGAGAAACACCACTAAACATAAGGCCGCATATAACAAAATCAACATGTAACTATAACTCAATTTATCTTCTTTCTTTGAGTTTGATCCTAATATGATACTAACTTCTGAGGGACTTTAAAGTCATGTACATCATTTTTAATTAAGCCCATGCCACCATTCTTTCTAGAGGTGTAAACCTCATACCCACCAACCTTTAAATCTATTCAGGTCGTTACTGAGAAGAAATACATTAAACTTTGATTGTAAATTGTCAACAAAGACTAGAGTTTGCACCTTGTATTGGTAGATGTCCTATGATTAACAATAATTCCTCCCAACACATTTGTTAGGACTCCAAGTTGAGTTATCCCATTATCACTCTTTATCTTTGTTAACTAAACCATTTCTTCCCGCCAACCTCCCCATCCAAACATTATACAAATGTGGAGGTTTGGCTTAGTTCCTATAACAATTTTCTCTTTAGTTTAAACAAAAGTAAACAAACCATTTTAACAAAAAAAAAAAGAAGTAAAGAAACTTTCAGGAGGCAGTATAAAATAGGGAGTAATAAAAGAAAAATACTCACTCATTCGTTATTATTACTCCGTATTATTGTTATTATTATCCCCGCATAAAATGTTAGTGTAATCAAAAAATTTTACACTGACATTTTGTATCAATGTAAACAATTACACTAGCACTAGCATGAATCTGCATGATGCATGTCTTTGAATACAAAGTGGGGTATAATGGGGTATGATTTTTGGGATACAAAAAATTCATAGCAAAATCACCTGGGAGCACTGAAGATAGGCCTAGCTCCAACTCTATCAAGCTTCCTCACCATGGCCGTAGCTTTCAGACCTCCTTCCCGGAGAAAGGCCTCAACCATTCTTTCTCCGATCACCTTCCCCCTCTCCTCATCATCCGTCACGGCCACCGCAGTGGGTCCCGCCCCGCTGATGGTGCAACCGTAAGCTCCACCATCAATTGCCGCCTTCTTCACCGCCTCCATCCCCGGAATCAATGGCGATCTCCTGGGCTCCACGATCTTGTCAGAGGATAGCGCCTTCCCCAGCCCCGGCAAGTCTCCCTGCAGCACCGACGCCACCAGAGCTCCCGCCTGGCTGGAGTTCCAGATGTGGTCCGCCATTGTGATCTCCGCCGGCAGGACCGCCCTCATCTTCTTCGTCGGAGCCTCAAATTCTGGATTTACCAACACGAAGAAGAGGTTCTTATCCTGTGGAAACTTCAATCGGATCAGATCCAGCGGATTGTAGCTCCGGATCAGCACGAATCCGCCCATGATGGAGGGCGCCACGTTGTCCGCGTGGTAGCCGGAGACCTTGGATTCCGATTCTAGCGCGGCGAGCACGAGGTCCGAGGCGGACAATCGGGCGCCGAACAGCTCGTTGACCGCGACGGCGGCGGCGGCTGCGCTCGCTGCGCTGGATCCCAACCCGCTCCCCAACGGCAGCCCCTTCTCGAGGGAGAGGGAGAGGCCGACAGATCGGACGCCAAGCATCTGCAAAGCCGCGATGGCGGCGATGCCGGCGCAGTTCCACAGCGGATCCTTGCTAAGCTTACCTCCCGCGCCGGAGATTTCAGCGATCGAGACTTTCCCAGGCCGAACGCCGGGATCGACGCGGGCGGTGACGAAATCGCCGATTCCATCGACGGCGCATCCGAGGAAGTCGAATCCAGGGCCGAGGTTCGCAACGGTGGCCGGAGCAAAGGACTTGACAGACGCGTACCGCGGTTCGGGGTCGGAAATGGAGACGGAAGAACAAGCTGTTACGGCAGATCCTCCGCCGCCGAACTTAAGAGCGGCGGGGAAGCGGAGATTAGGGTTAGGCTTTTCAACAGAGCGGCTGAAAAAGGGCAGGGGCTGATAGAGCAAGGTTATCGCCATTGAAGCCGATATGTATTTGCTTGATTTGCGCTGCAGATCGATGTGTTTTAAGAAGGGTTTTGGAATGGAAGGCGCAGGCGGAATTCACAATGGACCAAACGTACTTTTTGTTAATGCTTCCCATTTGGATCCAATTAAACTAAAAAATTTATACCGAGTATTATACATTTCATTAATTATAAATAAAAGAGTACAATTCAAAAAAGGTACATAATTAAATTCATACATGATAAATTAAAATCATACATAATCAATTAAAGAAAGGTACATAATTAAAAGAATGACAAACATGATTTCTAATAAATTATTGAAAAAAATTAGGATTAAAAAAATTACTCATTTAGAGACCAAATATGATCCATTAAATCGGCGCAGAGGTGGAAATGCGTATCTGGGTTATGTAATGCCCATATGTTTGACTCTTGTTGCCCCGCGTCAACTGACTCGGCATACTTACCATCATTTGGGTCGTATTCAATATTACATGAACTTCGTCTCGAGTATCATGTTGTGTGAGCATACATTATGTTTCTCAATATTTTGAGTGTGTAATCACACTAGGTTTTACACAATGTGTCAGCGTTGCTTTAAGACACCAATATGTTGTTCAACATCTTTTCTTGTTGCATCTTGGTACGTTGCAAATTTCTTCCTCTTTGCATCTTCAGGGTGCGGTATACTTTTCACTATAGTCATGTACTCAAGGTATATACCGTCAGCTAGATAGTATATACACATGTTTGTACTCCACTCACGAAACCGTAAAAGAAGAGTCGGTGCAACACCCTCTATGATATCCATGAAAATATTAAAGTGATTCAACATGTTCAAGTCGTTACTCAACCTACTACACCAAAAAACACATGTCAAACCCAAAGATTTTGTGACGCCACATCTTCAAGCATTGTTGTTGAATGTCTAGGATCACCACACGTGTACTAACCATGCCACACATTTGGGCAATTACACCATGCTCAGTGCATTCATTCGATGCTCCCTAACTTTTCAGGAAATTGTGTCTAGCATTGTGGGTGGCATAAAGCTTCTCAGCGTCTCCTTGTGTTGGTCTAGGAAAATACTACTTCCTCCGTCCCAAATTATAATGCATGTTTACTATTCACAGGGTCAAACTTCATTCACTTTCTTTCTCTATTTTCGTTAGCAATTTGATAAAATAAAATATTATTGTCACTACTAGTTTTGTAGATCTTTTGATGTAGTTTTTTAATATGCAATTTTTATTTTTTAATTCTATACCATTTGTCATATAAAATGGTTTGAAAATAATTTCAGTCAAACATCGTAAATCGAAACAGGCGTTATAAAATGGGACGGAGGGAGTATTTGCTACTTCCTCCGTCTCACAAAATCTTTCTCTTTTCTTTTTTATCCATTTCAAAAAACTTTTCTAATTTCTATTAAAAAGTCACTTTTATCCATATTAATTCTTAAGCTACCTATCACATCATACTTTTACCCATTCTAGCTATTCAAGAGTATTTTTGGAAAGTCAGCATCAAAATACACTCCTTTTAAATCTTTTAAAAGTCGAAAGTAGAAAGGTTTAATTTTGTGCAGTGGGACAATGGAGTATATAACATGACGACGTTCTTGGAAAATTTGTACAAACATTCTCGAGCCATTATATCTTACATCTCGAGGTACTCATCCCATATATGAATTGCTAGTTCTGATGTATGTTAATTCCCTTATTGCCATTGTGCATTTCTGTAATGTTTTAAAATCCTTCTAGGATTTTGCATCTGACTGTAAAGTGAAAAATGGATTTCTGGCGGCCAAGTCATCGGCAATAAGGAGAAACAATCGACGACTTATGTGGAAACGACGCCTAAATTGGTTTTCATTGTAGATAGAGTCCTCTGCAAAGTAATCAGAAACTAACCGATCATGACCAACTACGAATTAAAAAATAATAAAAATATTGAAATTGAATAAAATTGTGAAATATTCTTAAAATATAGATTATACGGCGGAATACAAAAATAAATCATACCCTCTCGGTTTCAATTTAACGCTTATTGTCTTCTTCGTGGCCCCGTTGACTCTACAGTTTCATGTTGCGCTAGAAGAATTTGTGCAGCGTCCGTCACCAACTTAAAAAAAGAGTTCCTCCGCTTTGTCGGAAGATGAAGAATAATTCATGGCAACATATCATATATTTGGAAATAAAGAACTCTTTTCCGGTGGAGAAAAATTTCTGAAAGTTTTGGTAACACTACTAGAATATGTTGATTTTGCGTGGGTCAAAAGCCCTCACAAAAGGGTAAAAGCCGACGCAAATTCATGTTTTGCGTCAGACTTGCGTCGGCACAGTTGGCGTGACTAATCTGCTCGATGCAAATGGTAGTGTCGGCCAGTTCCTCGATAAGTTGCGTCGGCCAAGCCCTCAATAATTTGCGCCGGCCAGTTCCTCGATAATTTGCGTCGGCCAGGTTCTCGCAAACTTTCAAGGGATTAACCCTCACTACTACTTTTAAAAAAGGAAAACTAGCGAGGGCTAAACCCACACAATTATTATTTTTTAAATAAAAAACATTAATGGATAATTTTCTACTTGTAAAATATTTATCTTTCCAATGGGTTTTAACATATGACAAATACACGTTCTAAACAAAATCGTAGATTTAAAGTCATTCATCACATAACAAAACATAAAAATAAGACATTTTTTAAGAAAATGTTATTATTTAAAACAAAAGTACAAAGAGTGTGGGCTTTGTGGGGAGGTCCATACCCCAACAAGAGGACCAAGAAATCGAAAAAACTCAAATTCTAAAAGGCCGAACTCTTACAACGAGAGAGATTCAATATTGACCTTTGTACCTGAAGGGAGCTTTGAGTTACCAATAGAGGCAATTTAAGCAAAATAATGCTTAGTCATAATTGAAGAAGCCATTATCGGAGCTCTAGAATGCCACGCCCAGAGTGTTGTCACAAGTGATCCGATCCTATGTTGTACCACAATATTAAAAAATGTCATGGGCTATAGGTTCCCTTATTAAGTTCAGCACCTCTAGAAACACATTTATGTTTAGAAGTCTCGCTAAGAGGTGTTCCCTCAAACACAAAGTTGGTGATATTTTGGTAGCTCTTTCTACTTGTGTTCTTCTTCTCCTTACCCCCCATAATCAGACAGTGCATAAAAGGCAAGGGAAACAAAGCAGTAGTGCAAAACAAAGGCACAAGTTCCACAAGAATGAAAAACAACAAACAATAAAGTATGAACTAAGGCTTCAGATGATTCAATACTAGTTAAATGAATTGAAAATCCAACCAAGATGACGAAACACCACTAAAACCGGTCAAAATGCACCAACAAATTGGAAGGAAACAAGCAAAAACCTGGATATGAGCACTCTCAGTATAAAAGATACCTTCTCTTTATTATTTTTAGGTTTTTGTATGAAACAGGTGCAAAATAGAAAAAACCAATGGATATCGTTTTTATTGTTTGGTTGTGCTGGAAAATACAGAGGAAAATAATTGAAATTTAAATTAAAATGTAATACTCCGTATTTTTTACATGTACCTATATTTTTTTGTCAAAAAAAAAAAAAAAAAGATTTGCCCAAATCATAAAATTCGTTGATTGAATTGACAAACCAACACTAGAATCTTAAGAAGACACCAATCAAGCTTAATTTTAGAAAAAATGGCGGTGAATTCAGACCTGCAGATTCAACGAAGAATAGTACCTGCGAGGGGGTTATTGACCTTCGATTCTACCAAATCCAGCCACGAATCAACAAAATCGAGCTTAGAATCTTGTTCTCCCGTTGAATACGAAACTACATCACCAAAAATCATAGAAAACGAACAAGGAAATCGATGGTAATGACGATCCAAGGAGTTGCGATGAACAATACTCGATGCGTAGTTTTTCCGCTAGGTTTGATGTGAGGGAAGAAAGATAGTAAATAACGCTGGCAAGTAAATAATCACATTTATTTTTTAATTTTCATATTAGTGAAGGGCAAGCGGACAGAAACATTTTTTCGAGTAAATAATTCGTTTGTGTCGGGTAAGCCCACGTAAATTTAGGACGGCTCGTGACCCTTGCTAATTTTTTGCAGCTAATAACCCATATTCTAGTAGTGTAAGAAGAAGTGGGTTTAAATAGAGAAGGAAATTTTAAATTAAAAAAATATAAAATAATGCTGCAAGCCCAATGCAACTGCTATAAACCACAAAAATGAAGAAAATTAAATTAAAGTTGCACTGCAGGGGTCTTAGAGAAGTGCTCTACAATTTACAAGCAAAAAAATGATACAAACATCATAAAATGATACAATTTACAAACGAAGTAGAATTTTAATTTTTTTTAAATTCATTTTATTTAAAGATTGATATATAAATAAAAAAGAAACTTACATATTTAAAAATTAAATCAAAAGTTTTTTAAAAAAGTGGCGACCGGAATATTTTATTTTATTAAATAATCAATAAAAATGCATAAATAAGAAAAAATTATTGTGATTTTGGAATAGTGAACAAGGAAGTAAGATAATTTCGAAAGGGAGGGAGTGGAAATAGTTTGAACTTGAATTCGAATTATATTCATTGAAATTAGATTAGATCTATCCAGATTAAGGTCATGTTCTATTCACGTGATCTGATTGGAATAAGTTCTGATCTGATCTCATTAGGTCTGATATAATTTGAATGTAGTTATATTTCAAGTTGTTTCTAATCTGATATGATTCTAATAAGAATAAGTAATAAGTACAAAAAATTGAGGAGAACATGTCCCAAATTAGCTCAAATCAAGTTCATCCAGATCAGATCCATTCATATTAGATTAGATCAGACCAGATAAGATTCATTCAGATAAGATCAGAATAACCTTAAAAAGTTCATTTTGAATTAGCCAAAGAGAATGCAGTCTAAACGTAACTACGTCCAATTTTCACTCTAAACCCCTGTTTGTTTTAGTGAAATATGAATAAGAAGAAAGAAAATGAGAAGAAAATAATCATTTTCCTTAAATAATTTGGATGGAGAGAAATGTTAATAATTGTGAAAAGAGTGAGGTCTAATAAATTTTGTATCCTTGCACTCTTGGATGGAAAACATGAAGACTAAAACTTTGACCAATTCAAAAGCATGCATGTCTATGTACTTTATAACTTTAAGGAACTTTTCTTTTGGTTGACAAAGAAAAGAGCATCATATCCATAAGTGTGTTGCCGAACACCCTATTGATTTTTGTTTGAATCCGGTTCAAAAAGGTGAGAGATAGATTTGATGGGTAGCTCAACTGGTTCAAGGAAAAGATGTCAAACTCGTTGATTTTAGGAATGAATCTCGACAGAGAGGGTGTAAGAGTTCTATTATTTGTAATAGTTCTTTGTGCGTATCGGGCACGAGATAATCTCTCTAAGAACCAGATTGAGGTTATACTATGATTTACATCCAGAATCTCGTCCGATGTGGGGTTTTACCTTTTTTAAAAAGCAAAGAGATAAGTCAACCACTAAATGATGTCACTCTTAAGAAAAATGAGTTAGTACTTCGTACTAGCTAAGAGAATTTAATCTTCTTAATACACTTTGTTTCTTAAAGACACATAAATAATTATTGTTTGAACATCATAAATACAACTAACACACAGAATTCTGTGAAAAAATGGTGTTAACAAGTTGGGTATGATATTTTTATAAAATTCTCAAATACTTTTAACATTTTACCATTACATATCGAAAAAATACAGAGTATAAATTCAATATGTTCAATTTGAAAATTTATTGAGTCGAAGAAATTAAATAAATGAAATAAAAGAAGGCGATGTCAATTTATAAGGGTAAATTTCACCAATGATACCTGAACTTTAGCTGGGATTTTGAAGTGATACCTGAACTTCAAATCCTTTCACAAAAATCCCTGAACTTACACAATCCTTTCACTAATGAGCCATTAGCCCGTTTCTAGGTTAACTTCCGGTCATTAGGGCCAAATTCGAATTTTATATATTTTAAAATTTTCAATTTGACCCCATTTCTTCTTTTCTTTTCTTCCAGGCCCCGCCGCCGCCGCCCGCCGGTCAAAGTCGCCGGAAAATGAACTTTTACCGATTCCGGCGGGACCAATGTCATTCTCTTCGTCTTGAGACGAGGATCAATAATATCCAAACCATTTTGTCTAATTTGGCCTGTAACTTCTCGAATCTGAATTTTTCTATTTGAAAAAACCCTAAAATCGAAATTGGGTCCAAAATGGGGGTTTTGCAAATCGTCATCAAATCTTGCAATTGAAGGGTCCTTGGAGGTCGCCCGGATGCCACGACCGCATTGAAGGGTCCAGCAAATGTAGTGTGGAGCAACATGTAACACCAATTCAATAGACCATGTAGTGTCAAATAAAGAGTAGCTAGCTAGTATAGGTAGAATCTTTGAACAATAAACTCCGTACAATATACTCCGTATATTGTTTTCTGGTTTCACAAAGTTGGACGATCCAAAAGAATCTTTATGAGTCACCTTTGGTCGTGCATTGCTTGGGATGCAATGATTTCGCTCCTAAGCTTTATACTCGTATTTATGAATGTCAAGTTTTTATTATTTGTGTTTACTTAATAACATTAAATAGAATTCGAACTTTGTGATACGGTTCTTGTACGAATCGTATCGGGATACGAAAGGATTTCGAGCACCTTCAAGCCCCAAAAACGAATAAGATGAGAAAGAGAGAGAGATTAGGGTTTAGGGAAAGATATTTTCTTTATTCGTTGATTAATAATTCATGAAAATAGATACATTTATAGCTAATACACCTAATAATAAACTAGAAATCCTAATTATAAATGGTAACAAATATCCTAACTATAGATTACTACTTTCTAATAATAATAATAATAATAATAATAATAATAATAATAATAATAATAATATACATATAATTAACTAACCATAAATAATGATATTACCTAATATAATACTTCCTCCGTCCCTAAAAGATGTTTCTGTTTCATTTTTTGCGCATCCCATAAAACACTTCTACACACATCTAAATTGCCTAAAATTTACCATATTTCTCCTTTATTATAGGTAGAAGTTGTTTTGAAAGTTTTTTTTGGCATTTAAAGTTGAATAGAAATATTTTATGGGATGCACAAAAAATGAAACAAAAACATCTTTTAGGAACGGAGGGAGTACGTAATAATAATCATTGTACCAACCATTAATAATAGTAATAATAATAATAATAATAATATACTCCCTCCGTCCCAAAAAGAATTTCTTACTTTGATTAACGTGTAAAACCCCGTGGTTTTTAAAATTATTTTATTTGCAAATTGGTAAAGAAATAACACATAAAAAAATTATATTTAAAAACTACTTCGAAAACTCTACAAAATACTACCTCCGTCCTAGAGTATTTGTCCACTTTCATTTTTACACACCATCAAATGCACTTCTTTAATCCATTTTATCTTGTAATTTGTATATTAAAAAATTATAGAAATTATATATTAATAATCTATATGTTAAGACAAATCAAACAAGATCACACATGACTATATTTAGGCTTACACATCGAGAGAATTTGATGAGTCAAAGTGCTTAGATGAACAGTTTTAAAAGTCAAAACTGGACGAATACTCCGGGACGGAGGGAGTAAGAGGTAACAAGAATATTTTATTTTATCAAATGATCAATGAAAACACGCAAATAAATAAGAGTTATCGAGAGGTCGTAACAGTAAACAGGAAAAACAACTTTTTGGGACGGAGGGAATATATTAATAATTAATCATGTATCACTTTGCAGCCATATTTCCATCATCTCCGATGGAGCCAAAATTTCACTATTTTTTGGCTTTGGGTGTGATGGAATAAATCAAAATGGATCTCTAAACTATTTGCGCTTCTTTAATTAATGAAGTAGCAGTTAGTCAAGCAATGCAACTTTCGACGTTGAGCCAGGGGTCTCTTTGGAAACAGCCTCTCTACTTTCGAGTAGGGGCAAGGTCTGCGTACACACACCCTCCCCAGACCCTACTCTTGTGAGATTTAATTGGGTTGTTGTTGTTGTTTTGTTGTTGTATCACTTTGCAGCCACCAACAAAAAATGAACTATTTTCATTTCTTAAGAGTCATTTTATGCACTAATGTATATGACATGCGAGTGCAATGATTTTAGTTACAAAATTGGTGAATGATGTTTTGGATTAAGAGAAAGAATTGAATACAAATATGGGAAACGTGATAAGCCAATTCAAAGTGCACGCCCAACTTTAAGCATGAACAAATATACGGAGTATGTATAGCCCTCTATGCTTACAATTTAATCATACATTCATACTAGAAGAACTAGCACCGGAAATTAATTTTAATATATAAAAATATTTGTCTCACTTCACAAATATCAACTTTAATTGTCTCACTTCACAAAGAAACTAGAAGAATTTACTTAAAGAGAACTAAAACATAATGACTTTCTCTAAATAGTACTTCATGTGTTTTCTTCCCAATGTAGCACTTTTAGTCATTATGCATTAGTCATTATTTAAGTAAATATTCGTCATCACTGGACATTATAAACATTATTAAGTGTTATTTAGAAAATAAATCAGTTTAAGTGCTATTTAGAGAAATGATTTAAGTTTTAGTACTATTTAGTGCAAATATTTCAAGAAACTATTTTGTTCTTTTAATGAACTTCACAAATAACAACCTTGTAAACTTTATAACATTTTTTAACTTTTGCCTGTGATTCTAATATTTCCGTTGGTTTAATAATTGCATTATTAATGATTATCCGAATAATAAGATTAGTACCCTTGGCCTTTACAGATGTTTTTATTTGTTTATTAAGGGTTCGTTTATGAGTAGCATTTTCGATTAATGTGAGCGTTTTGGATAAAACATTAACAGTGCATATTAGTTTTGAAAACGCTAACGCTATTCATCAATAACTTTTTCAAAAAACTAGCACTTATTTTTTCCCAAAGACGCCATAATGCGTAAGAGTTGTGCTAGGTACCCCGGATGTCTCTATTTGGAATTGGGAAAAGTGATCAGAAAAATAAATAAGTCAATAAATATGGAGAAAATAAATACTCCCTCCGTCCAATAATAAAGTTCTCGTTCATTATTCACTGAGTTAAACTTTATTCACTTTATTTGTTGGCCTATTTTTGTGTCATACTCCCTCCGTCCAAAAAAAACTTCTCACTTTCCTTTTTCGTCCGTCCACAAAAAAACTTCCCATTTCTATTTTAGGAAAGTTTTTGAGAATGAAAAGTCATTTCTACCCTTATCCTCTCCTTCCTCTCCCTTTCTTCCAACCGTTTTCTTTTTTTCTTTCTTTTCTCCTTTTTCATTCTTTTTCTTATTCCTTCTTCTTTTTTATTTCTTCCATTCTTCTGTCATTTCTTTTCTTCTTCTTTCTTTCTTCCTTCTTCCGTCCTTTCTTCTTCTTCTTTCTTCCTTCTTCCGTCATTTCTTCTTCTTCTTCTTCTTCTTCTTTCTTCTTCATTTTTTTCTGTTTTTTCTTCCTTCTTTTTTCAGATCTGGTTGCATCTTCTCCAGATCTAGATTTGCAGTCACAAATTTTTTTAATTTTTTCAAGATCTGAGATGGGATGTTGATTTTCAAGATCTGAGGTGGAAATAGATCTAGGGCTGCGACGGCGAGAGGATGTCAGGGGCTACGATGGCGGGGCCTTCGACGGCGTCACGGCGAGAGGATGCCAGGGGCTGCGACGGCGGGGCCTTTGACGGCGTCACGGCGAGAGGATGCCGGGGGCTGCGATGGCGGGGCTTTCGACGGCGGGGTTGCTGAAGCATCATAGGTGGTGGTACTGAAGCGGCGGCGGCGGCGGTGCAGAAGGCCCAGTGTCGGCCGTGGTAGATGGTGTGTTCCCAGTGGGGGTGTACAGGGTAGAAAGGACAAGGGGTATAATGGGAAAGTCAACACAATTTTCATCACACATAAAATTGCGTGCCCGGTCAAACCGGGAAGTTCTTTTTTGGACGGAGGGAGTATTTGACAAAATAATAAAGTCATACCACTTCTAGTATTGTATATCTTTTCATGCATGTAGTTTTTAAATATGTCATTTTTATTTTTTTAATTTCATACCACTTATTGTATAGAATGATTTGAAAATAATCTCAGTCAAACATCGTAACATGCAACGGATATTTTGTTTATTAACGGGAGTAATAAAAATTACACAAGATTCAGAGAGCCAAGCTTTGGATGTATGTGGCTTTATTGGATGTGGACTCACTTACCTACTCCATGACTCAAAAAAAAAAGTTTTCTTGAATTTTTTGGATTAAATTACACAAATGTTGACTATAAATTACGGAGTATATTAAGCTTTAATATAAATTTAGTATAATTAAACTTATTGTTAGCGTGTTTATATTTATATTTCCATGTATGTATTTTTAGCATGTGTCTTTTATCATACGGGCATGGCCCAAAGCCCAAAGATACTTACTCCCTCCGTTTCTTAAAACCCTTCTTCTTTCATTTTTTTTGTTTTTCTTAAAACACTTCCCTTTTCTATTAAAAAACCACTTTTACCCCTACTTTTTTCATACTCTACCTATCACATCATACTTTTTAACTAACAACTAAACTATCACCTTACTTTTACCCATCCCATCAAGGGCAAAATTGGAAAATCAATTACAATTTAACACTTCCTTATTTTCCCCCAAAGTCAAAAGAGGAACTCTTTTGAGAAACGGAGGGAGTATATTTATACGGTGTGAATATTCAATGAAAACAGTTCAGTTTTCACAAATTTTTACACTTACTTTAAAACATACTCCGTAGTTTTTATATATCAATTTTTATGACATTTAAGAGCGTCTAAAATGACACTAGTTACTTACACCACTTTGATCGATGCTCGTTTGTAAAAATGACGACTCTTACCATCCTAATCATCCCCCAAACCCCCACCACAGTCATCCACCCCTGCATTCCTCCTAGGGGCTGGAGTGAGAGGGCATAGTGGGGGTTTGGGAAGGAGGGTTACGAAAGATAGAAACCGTCATTTTTACGAACATGATACCGTAGAAATGCTCCAAACAAAGTGATGTAAGTAAATAATATTTTAAATTTTCTTTTACTAAAAATTACTTCCTCAGTTTGCAAAAAGACTTCCCATTTTGATTTGGGGGCAAAAATAAGAAAGTGTTAAATTATATCATTTGTTAATAGTAAAAATATATACAGAGTATATAGTTGGCAAAAACAATCAGATAGTACTGTATATTTATGAATGGTTTTTTTCTGGGAATAGTATGCTTTCAAAATCCTATCATCTGATCTCTCTTCCCAAGAAAAAATAATTTTCTAAGACCATTAATTAAGGAGTATCTGAGTATCTCCACAAAAAAACGAGTAAAAAATAAAAAGTTTGAATATTTAATGATTTTAATCACATGGCCCCTCTTCCAAGGCTACCTTCTCCCCTCCAATTCAGATAAATCACATCATCAATAATACACAAAAATTACTCATCACTAATTATTTTAATATCTCTCCCGAAATATTTTTTCTGTCCCAATTTGTTTATCTTATAATATTTGATTTTTTAAAATCAAAATTAATAATAATTGGTGTAAAATTATACATTAAACAATCACACCAAAAATTCTACTCCTTCCGTTCTCAAAAACACTTCCTCTTTCATTTTTTTCACTTCCAACAAAACACTTTTCCTTTCTATTAAAAAACCACTTTTACCCCTATTTTTTCATACCCTACCTATCACATCATACTTTTTCTCTAATAATCAATCTATCACATCTTACTTTTATCCATCACATCAGGGGCAAAATTGGAAGTCAACTATAATTTTACACTTCCTTAATTTGCCTTATTTTCAAAGTGGGAAGGGTTTTCCCAAACGGAGGGAGTACAAAATAAATGATAACAAAGTTCTAATAGAGTTTTCGCGGATGAGATTTATCCTTTTTTTTCTTGAATTGATTTTTATGACTTTATGTTAATGAAATACTCCATCCTTCTCATAACATTCGTTTGATTGATTTTTTGACTTAAACGAGATAAAACTTAATTATAAATATGATAAAATAAATTTTTGATAGTTTTCTATAAGATAAATACAATAAAATCATTTTTGTGCAAATATTTAATATAATTTTTATTTATTCAATGGCCAAAATTTATTAAATTCGTTTCAAAAAAGTAAAACTCAACCCATATTATTAGACGAAGTAGTACCCGGAGACCGGAGTACAATAAATCATTAAAATCCAAAACGGGACGGAGAGATTATTAAAATAGTAAGTGATAAGTAATTGTTAATTGTGCATCTCATTCTTGCATAAATCGATTTTTTTAGAACCCATTATGGCTCTTGAATGCATAGTTTGTTGCCCGCATGAGTAGCTCAATTTTTCCAATGTGAAAATTTTATTCATTGTAATTAATAGCTTCTTGTGCATACCGGGCACGAGAAAACCTCTCTAAGGACCAGAATAAAATTATATCATGATTTACCCCCGCCTCCCTACAATCCTTTCGGAACGGGATATGGGGGTGCTCGAGATGAGCGTTCCACATTTGAATGTATTTTTGAAATGACCTTTTAGTTTTTTACCACACACTTACTTTTTCGGAGCGTTAAATTAAAAACAAAAATACAGTTTAGCAACAATTTAATACTCATATTATACGGAGTATTTAATTTAGGCTTTTAAAAAAGTTAATTGATAATAGTAGTACTTAACTTTTACGTCTTCACCACTAAAAAATTTTAAAATATAAAGATTAACAAAAAATGTTCTTTCATCGTTGAACGATGAACACCCTTTGACTAAATCTAAGAAATAAAAGGGCAGCTCAATTAGTCTTAGGCAGTGAACGTTGGTCCCAACCTCTCATCGTTGAATACTAAGATTTCTCTTAGGGTCTGTTTGAGAAACGGAACTGGTAGAATTGGGATTTAATTGAAAATTGAATTTTTATGAAATTGATTTAGTTGAAATTGAGTTCTCCGATTTCAATTCATTTTTGATATTAATAATTCTAAATTCACATATCTTTTTGTTACCAAACAACAAAATTGAAATGGTTGTCCGCAATTTGAATTTCATAATTTGAATTTTGTGCATCAAAGAGAGTTATTTTTTTTTAATGAATTTATTTATTTATTTGTGGATTTATGTTACGAATTTTAGGTCAAGCCATGTAAAATGTAAATATAGCTGATAGAGAGCTATATAACAACTCACTTTTACAATATAGCTGATAGAGAGCTATATAACCATATCATCTATTTTTAACACTTTTATAATTTTTCAGTCCCAAAAAGAATTACCTTTTTTAATAATTAAAAGTTATAGAATTTTTTGTTTATTTGGGCATTTTATTGATTGATTTATCAAGAAAATAAATTATTTTTATCATCTTTTGTTTTGTAAAATGTTTGAATTAATTTTTACATATGTAAATTTTATTTTTAATTTTATAGCAATTTTTAAAATAATATAAATTTGAAAATTTGAAAATTCACTTTATTTCGTGTAAAGTATAAAACATTTCAAGACGAAGGTAGTGATATTTTAATATTTTAAATACAATACAATAAAAGCATAAATTTGGCAGCTTCGAGTTCAATTCGGCGACCGAAATTTAGAGATTGGCAGCATCTGGTAGCTGAAGAAGGTGTGAAATTCAATAGTTTTAGGCTCCGTTTAATACACGAAATTCAAATTATGGAATTGGAATTGGGGTAATATTTTCAATTCTGGTGTTTGGTAGTACAAAAATATATAGATTTGAAATTGATAGTGCCAAAAATGAATTGAAATTGGAGAATTCAATTCCATCCAAATCAATTCCAGAGAATTTCAACTTCCAATTCAATTCCAATTCCGTCAATTTCGTGTACCAAACGGACCCTTAAAGTGATTTTATATATAAATTTGTATAGATATAAGAAATACAAATTAAAGATTTTAAAATTATATCAAAAGTTATATAAACAAGATGCGACGGATGGACTCAAATGGTTATTGAGAGTATGTTAGAAAATCGAAATCTGTACTGTTAGTTCTAGGGTGTTGCCTAATCTTTTGGCAAAACAGAATCCCATATTTGTTAGGTGTTTACTAGGTAGAAACCTCTATTTGTTAGGAGAGGTTTATTTTATTTAAACTTCTAGAGTTGCTGCAGTTTTCAAGGTTGACACAGAAGATGCTACAACAGGATGCTGCAACACAATGTTCGGGATCAGAAGTCAGAGCATGGGATTTCAAGATGCAATCTGAATCAGAGACTTATTGGGATTGTGACTACATGATAATAACTCTAGTTGTGCGTGTTAAGGAATCCCATCTCTTTAGGCCACTTGTGGATCAAGATTAATGAAGTTGTATTCAAGTCAATTCTACCAACCTATTCCTACTAGGATTGTGTTAAGAGAAGCCTATAAAAACGCAGTAGATCTCTGGGAATTTCTTGGAGCGATCGAGAGGGAAAACAAAGAATAGACGCTGATGTAGAGTATTCTCGTCGCGTCCCGGAGCTTCCCATGCGTGAAGAAGGTTACGATCTACATGAAGGAGGAGATCTACAACGTCAAACAGATCGTGACGTCCACGAGATGAACTAGAGCTGAACGAGTGGGCTGCCAACATGTTTGTCCTCGTGATCTCTGTGGAGATGTGATAGCCAAAGCAGATCTATACAGGGCGCGGGTTAGAAATCCTAGGTTAGAAGTTTTGTTATCACAATTCGGAGAAGTGTGTCTCATCATGTTGTTATGTACCGGTGTAACTGTCAAGGGACCAACTCACCCAAAAGCTCAAGCTTGTGGTTGTGGCCCAGGAACAGTTATTTATATTCTAACACGCCCCCTCACGTGCAAGCGTAGTCTTTTTTTCTAGCCTTGCACGTGAAACCTTAATTTTTTTAAAATTGGGTGGCGCTGAGTTTTGAACCCGTGACCTCAGTCAACGAGGCTCTGATACCATGTCAAGGGACCAACTCAACCAAAAGCTCAAGCTTGTGGTTGTGGTACAGGAACGGTTATTTATAATAACTTGCATCTAGTGATTTAGTAGAGGGTTATTATACGAACACAGGCCCCGTAGATGTATGAGAGCTCTCCAAACTGCGTGAACATATCTGGTGTT